CCTCCCTCAGACCCAGGGTCCAGGCCCAGCCTCCTCCCTCAAACCCAGGGTCCAGGCCCAGCCTCCTCCCTAGGACCCAGGGGTCCAGGCCCAGCCTCCTCCCTCAGACCCAGGGTCCAGGCCCAGCCTCCTCCCTCAGAAGCAGAAAGCTGGGCCCCTAGCTCCTTCCTCTTTCCAGATACAGGAATGTAGCTCTCCATGTAGGGGATTTAGGAGTCCAGTTCCCTTTCCCTCTCCTCTCTAGCTCCCAAGAATCCAGCCACCCCCTCCCCTCATCCCCAGGCCCCTCCATCGCCTCATGGAGGCTGCAGAGAGCCCGGGATGCGGCAGTGCTGACTTGGGATGTGGAGCGTGGGGCCCTGATCAGCAGCTTTGTGATCCAGGCACGGACAGAGGGACCTGAACTGGGCAGAGCCACAGCCTATGAGGACTGGATCTCCCTGCTTATCCTGGGGCCTCGGGAGCGCTCAGCTGTGCTGCCCCTCCCTCCTCAGACCCCCAGGGCCTGGACCTTGCGCATCCTGCCCATACTGGGGTCCCAGCCAGGGTCTCCATCCCAAAGCCGGGTCTACCAGGCAGGTGAGTCGGGCCGTGGACATCTTCTCCTGGACTTCCTCTTAGAACTCTGGCCAGCCATTCTCAATCTGTTGCAGTGGCTTGTCTTCCCCCTCTGGTAACCTGCTAGGGCACCATAACAATGTACCAGGACCTGGGCGACTTATAATGGCAGACGTTGATTCTCTCATGGCTCCCAGGGCCAGAAGTCCAAGATAGGGGTGTCTTCAGAGCCATGTTCCCTCTTTCTGGCTCTCTCTCTCTCCCTCTTCCCCCCTCTCTCCCTCTCCCTCTCTCCCTCCCTCTCCCCCTCCCTCCCTCTCCCCCTCCCTCCCCCTCCCTCCCCCTCCCTCCCTCTCCTTCCACCCACATTACCCTGTACTGAACACAGAAGGCTCTTCCCAACCTCTGAGCCTTCTCATTTTCTGTTCCCTCCTCTTGAAACACCCTTTCCCAGGTTTAGCCTGACTAACTTCTTATTCTTCCGATCTCTGCTCAGCTGTTACTTTTCACCCTTGCTAAACATCATCTCCCCTCCCATTGTGTCTATCACGGGGGTTTTATCCCTTCTTAGTCCAGTCTGTCGTTGTGCTCGTTGTTGCTCCTTATTCTGCTGCCCTCCTAGGATTAATCCCCATGGAGTAGGCATCTGGGCTGTCTTACCCACCAGTGGATCCTCACCACGAGGCCGAATTGCCAGGCACTGGGTWGTCCGTCATTCAGAAAACGTTAAATGAACTGAGAGTGCTCAGCCCCACGTTCTGTGTTCTGAGAGGGACAGTGCACGGGATCCTCACAGGAAGGGTGAATTAGGGGTTTGGAAACTTCTCTTCCTTCTGTTTGTCTCTTCCAGGCCCCACCTTGGGCCCCGGTGCCATTGCTGGCATTGTCCTGGGCTCCCTATTAGGTGTGGCACTGCTCATCACGCTCCTTCTCCTCTGCATCTACTGCCTGCCGCGCTACCGGGGTGAGTGGGGAGCCTGCAGAGGAGGCCGACTGGGAGGGGCTAGAAAAAGGGAAACCTAAGTGAGCCAATCAGCGCAGTCCTAGCATGTCCCACCTTCCTACCTCCATATCCATCAAAGTAAGGTCCCGCCTCTCACCTCAGCTTCCCTTGCTATTGGCTGGGTCTGCATGTTGGGGCAGCCAATCACAGGTTCCTATTTCCCTGCCTCTCTCAGCGAAGGCGCCAAAGAAAAAGAAGCATCCTGCAGCCTTGGCTCCTGTGGTCATCTCTCCAGAGGAGAAGATGCAGACTGTGAGCCCAGTTCAGACCCCACAGCCACTGCCCCTCCAAGTCCCTCTGAAGGACTCTAACCAAGCCAAGGCCTACCAAGTGAGTGCACCTGTCCCCATTTCCTCCCAGAATGGGGACGGAGCTTATTTCATACTCAGGGAGATGAGCGTTTCTTAATTCCGGTCTCCAACTTTGTTTGTTGGCTTACAAAGTTGGTAAAACCTTATTTCTTAATTAAAAAAAAAAAATCTGGACAGGATTTCCTGCACAGCTTTTAGGTATCCCAACAGAAGCGTGCATCCTAGTATCTTCTCCAAAGGAGAATGAGGTGAGGCCTCCTTTGATTTTCATAAAAATTGGTCAAACCTTCCATTTTTCTCCCTGAGGCAGTGGAATTTCCGTGTTTCCCATTAAAGTTGGGTTGCTGCATGTCTTAGCCCCTCCAATGGTGGTCAAATATGGGGGGCAGGGGGAGGGACAGCTAGGTTTTGAAAAGTTTGAGCTAGGCTGGGAAAATGATGTGGGTGAGTCATGTCACATCCAGGGTGCCTCCTGAGATCACCCCTACTTTGCTTCTCTTCCAGGCCACCAGCCCCAGTCCAGTCATCTTTCCAGGTGGGGGACCAAGAACTGTTCGGACAGCCACGCAGGTGTGATCCGAGCCAGTGCCCCACTCTTCACGGGGGATTTTGGGGCAAGGATCCTGTTTTGCCCCAGCAGCAAGTAGGGCCAGCTATGACTGAGGGCTGGGCCCTGAAAGTGGGACTCCCTGTCTCGTCACAGAGAAGACTTACCCTGTGTTTGTAGACTCCTGGGACAGGAGGTCCTGCACATCCAACAGTGCAGTTCTCACAAGCCCCAGCTCTGGGGCGGACAGGCAGGGCCGGCGTGCTCCTCTGAGCTGGAGGGGAGCCTGCCCAGGTTCCCTGAAGTGGTCTCCTGTCTTCATCTTGCCTCCTCTGGGCCACACCCACTCCAGCTCCCAGGCTTCGTCCTTCTCTTTAGACTCTTTAGATTTTATCTAAACTCCTCAAGGACCTCCAAGGTCTTGTGCTTTGGCCTGTTGGCCTTCATCACCCTCTTCCCAGGACTAACCCTGCTCCCTAGCGTTTCTGTTTCTTTTAAATACCTTTATTTATTTTTATTGGTGCTGAGGATCGAGCCCAGGGCCTCGCAGGTGCTAGGCGATTGCTCTACCGCTGAGCCACAACCCCAGCCCCTCCCTAGCGTTTCTCTCAGCCATATTTCTCCCCCTCCAGGCCTTTGTCCCTGGATTCACTCTGTCTGGGCACTTGTCTTCCCCATATCGATCATCAACTCCCAGGTAGCCGTTACCATCTTTCCCCTCACCTCTCTTTGGTCATGGGTTAGGTCCCAGAGCCCCTGAACTTTCCCTCCTCACATGTAAATACATCATGATGCGTAGCTTAGGTTCCAGCTCTGCACTGAGAACATCACAGAGGCAGAAACCACACATTATCTCAGCACTTATCACAAAGCCTGGCACACAGCAGGCGATCAATAAATTATTTGTTGACTGATAGATGTTTTGGTGCCAGTGAAGGGCTGGGCTCGCTGCTGCTCTCTCCTGCATGTCAGCTATCTCACTGAGAACTTGGGGTCCACCAGTGGGATTCTCTTGGCTGCAGATAACAAGATAAATGGCAGCAAGAAATATGGAGGCGGTTGGTTTGAGGTTACGACCCAGTGACCCTGCAGATGCCCGCCGTGCATCCTGGAGCCCTGTTACCCAGCAGACGCACCACTCCTCATGAATCTACCCCCTCCGTAGCCCAGCTGGGCCATGTGCCCACCTCTGAGCCACTTGTGGTGGGAGATGGGCTCTGGGGAATGGCTTAAGCCAATTAGGGGCCACTGCTGTAATGGGCCAATTTAAAGGCCCCAAAGAGAGAGTGGGGGATGGGAATGACGCTGGGGAGGCACCTCCAGAGATCCACAGCCCGTGCCCTCCACTCCCAACTCCTAATGACACTGACAGCTGCAGGCAGAGACTTTGGAAAAAGGCGTTTATTGGTGCGGTGGTCTCAACACTCCCCATGAATCGGAACACACAGCCCCCAGGGCCCCCCGCCCTCCCCGCCCAGCAGCCCTCCCCTCCCTACCCGATCCCTGGACCCTGGGAATGGAAGACAATGTGGGATGGGGCCCACGCCCCTGTCTGAGGTACAGTCACTGCCCCTTGCTCCCCCGCCCCTCTCTGCCCTCTTCTCCACCAAGCTCTGGGTGGTGTGGGTGGGTGGGTGGGTGGTTATAGAGGGTCTCCAGGGAGTTGGAGCTGGTGACATGGCATCTTTTCTGGGCTCAGGATGTCTGTGACGCCTCCCCCCCACTCTGTGTGTCGTGGTGTACCTGGGTGGGGTATCTGACAATCCGAGCTGAGGCCACAGCCTCAGCATCCCTTCCTGACACCAGGGGCCCACCAGGGATCAGCAGCTGGTCACCGGCTACAGGACAGCTGGAGCCAGGGGGCTATTGCTGGTCACAGTTGCTGGTGTGTGGGTGTGTGTCTGTGTGTGAGGACGGTCAGGTTAGCCTTTGGGAGGTACATTTGGTGGAGGCCAGGGAGTGGGAGGCCGGGAAGCCCACACCTGTGGGCCAGCTGCAGGGCCGGGGGGAGCTGGTTGGTACTGCAGGTGGCCAAGGGGAGTGGTGGCGGGAGTGGGGCAAAGCACTGAGGCAGACAGGCGACTTCGGTCACCAGCCTGACAGTTGGATGGAAGCACCGAATGGCCCAGGAGGGGGCCAGAAAGTCCAGGGTGGGGAGGGGCAGGGCAAGTGGAAGGTCTCAGGCCACTGAGCCAGTGATGGGGCCTCTGGCTACAGGCAGCAGGTGGCGCAGCAGGAGGGACCTGCCAAGGCAGCCCTCACCTCTTCCTGAAGGCTGAGCAACTGCCCAGCTCCAGACCTGCCCTAGTGACAGCGAGGGGGAGGGGCGGGCAGCGTGCACACGTGGGAAAGCCTGGCCGTTCTCTCGCAGCCTCACAGAGAAGCACCCACATACCTACCTCCAGCCAGAGGAGAGAGGCAGCAGGGCGGGGCAGGGGACACAGGGTGGCAGCGGGGGAGGACTGCTGGTCCCCTCCTCCAGCCTCCCCCCACACACACCTACACATACGTGCGGGCTCACACTCACACACCCACCCACACACGAGCCCGTTGACAGCCTGAGCTAAGAGAGGGGTGTGGGGTGGCAGGGGTGGGTCACAACTGGAAACGTGAACGGGTGGCGAGAATGGCTGTAGAAAGATGCATAATTTTGCGTTATCCCTCACAGTGATGGGTTCTCTAAAGATCCTCCTCCTCCTCCTCTTCCTCTCGTCCTTCTCGGTGGCTGAGAGCTCTTCTGCCCGCTCGAGACCCACGGCGCTGGCTCCCCCTTTTCCTCTTGCTCTTGGCCCGAGGCCCCCTGCAGGGGGAGGCCCTGGGCTGCACCTACATCCTCCACCACAGCCAGCCCAGGGCGGAGAGCAGGGCCAGCGGCCCGGGGGGCCTTGGGGCTGAGTTCTCCAGGGATCCTGGGCCTGAGGGAAGAGGAAGGGTCAGGGATGGAGGCAGCAGCGGGAGGCTTCCTGCTGTCCCTCTGGGTGCCTCCTCTGAGCCAGTCTCTGGGGGTCTCTTAAGCCGCCTCTCAGGGGGCCTTCCTGAGACTTTTCTGCTTTGTGAGTCTTAGCACGCTCTCCCATCTTCTCCACGCCGTCCCACTGTTTTAGCCCTGTCCTTCTGTCTTAGGATCTGTCTGTCCAGCATTTCCACCAGTTGTCTCATCCTCTGTATGCCCAAAATTGTTTCTTGGACTTTTCTGCCTTTGGCTGGCCGCCCTCCCCTCCCTCTTCAATACTTGAGCATATTAATACTTCAGCTCCAGCCCAAGCCTCAGAAGCACTCTGACTCAGCTCTTCCCTTACCTTAGCTCGCACATCAGTCTGGCACCTAGCCCCAGGGCGCCACCTCCAAGGCGACTCTGGACAGAGGCTTCACGCTGTCCATCCACCCAGCTCTGGATCTCTACAGCTGCCCTCCCCACCAGCTCTCTGCCTCCATCTCAGAGCCCTAAGTGATTGTCTTTAGAAGTCTCAACACATGTCACTCCCTGCTTAACTGTCCCCAGTGGCCTTACCTGCAGTACAGTAAGCCCAAACCCCTTACTAATGGGGCAAGGGCTACTTTCCCTTTTCCTCCCAGGTTCCCTGCAGTTTATCTGCCACACCAAGCTGTTCTCAACGTACCTTTGCAAATTCTGTTCCCCTGCCTGTGAAGCCCTTCCAGCAGAATCGCACAGGCTGGCTTCTTATCATTCTGGTCTCAGAGTAATGATGCCCCTCAGGGTAGCCTGACTGATGACCTTGAGTAACACCTGCCACCTCTAATCCTATCTATTCCTTTCTTGCCAGCTCTTCTTGATAGTCAAAATAATATTTTGTTCATGTATTTGCTTATTTATCTACGTGCCCACATAAATGCTTTCCTATTACTACTAGGCCACGAGCTCTGTGCATCCCCAAATCCTGTCTCTTTTGTGCACTGCTATGTCCCCAGCACCTGGCCCTTAGTGGGCGCTCAATGAGTATTGATCCAGTGGATCGGTTCTTTGCCCAGTCGAGTTGCTCAAGTCTTACGGTTCCTCTTTCCTAAATTCGGGGCCAGTCAGGGGGTGGGTCCCGGGGTGTCTGCCTCCCCTTCCAGACCCCCCACCCCTGCCGCCACGCGCAGACGCACGCAGGAGCCTCATGGAGGCGCTGGACGCTCCGAGCCGGTTGGCGGCGCGGCACGTGTAGTTGCCGTAATGCCGGGCGCTCACGTTGGCGAAGAGAAGCATCGAGCGGGTGCGCTCCGTCTGCACCTTCAGGCCCTCGGCCGCGCCACTGCTCAGCCTGCCGGGGACGGGATCAGCGTTGGGCCAGACCCTCCTGGGAGCAGCGCCCAGTCCCCCGACTCGGCCTCCCCCAGAGACCACTAGCATCGGGCTCTAGCTCTCTAGCTCCTCAGGGATGCCTTCTCCAAGCACGGTGGCCCCGAGGGACACTGGACTCTCCCTGTGTGCGCCACAACCCCCAATTCCTAGGGGCTCTCAAACCCGGTCCCAGTGGTCCCCTTGCACGCCAGATCCTCAGCAGACTCCAGACCCTAGACCCCTCCCTGAAGAGTCCGGGAGACGGGCTCCGGCGTTCATTCCGGGACCCACGTTAGTCTCCCTGGACTCGGCAGACTCTACCACCTAGAAGCTGGACCCTCACTTCTCAGAACACAGAACTTGGCCCCTCCACCCCCGCGCCCTGGCCCTGCCATTCCAGGGACCGAGGGCCTCCCCCTTTCCTCCTCTCCCGGCCGGCCCCGGGGCGGTCCTCACAGTCTGTCGTCCTTGTACCACTGGAAGTCCGCAGGCGGCACGGCCATGGCTTCGCAGCGCAGAAGGGCTGCCCGGCCCAGGGCGGTGCGTGCGCTGGTCACGTCCGTAATGGTCGGGGGATCTGGCGAGGGTGTAGCATCGGCTAATTTTAGCAGCGTGGGGACTACAGGGTGCCACTCCAGCAGCCTGCTCCCTCGGACCCAGGAGCCCCGCCCAGATTCCTTCTCCCACATACAGACCCCGCCTCCCCAGGGACCTAAGGCCCACCCCTCTCCTGCCCAGTGCCGGGGTGGGGGTGGGCGCTCACAGTTGACTGTGACCAGCACGCGGCGGCTGTCGGGCGCCGAGTTAACCCCGTTGTGAGTCACGCACTCGTATTCCCCGGCCTGGCCCCGCTGGATGTCAGAAATCTCCAAGATCTCACCCTCGGAAGTGAAGCCGTCTGTGGGGGAGGGAGCAGGAGGGGGCGGGGCCGGACACAAACACTTAACACGGGACAACACGGGCACAACACGGACACACATCAGCGGGGCGGGCACAGCAAGGCCTGGAGTGCCCGGGGCAGTAGGAGCCGGGAGGGGCCTGAGGGGTGGGAGAGTGAGGACAGGGACTTAGGCACTGCAACCCAGTGGGGAGGGTCCTGGAATTTCAGGATTCAGAAGATCCAGGGATCTGGGATCTTATGATTCAGATCCTGGTCTTCAGAGGATCCAGTGGGGTGGAAGATTCCAGGATCTTGGATCTCAGAAGGATCCAGGGAACACCATGGGAAAGAATCCAGAATTCTGAGACCTAGTTCTTGGGGTCCAGGGAATTGATATCTGATTATTAGTTATCTAGATATCTGCAATCTTGTGACAGTTCTGCACACAGAGGACCCCTAGGACTTAAGGAACCCAGGGATCCAGGATCTCAAGATCAGGATTGTGGGGTTCATAAGACACAGTGGGGCAGGACCCAGGGATCTGAGGCTTAGTAATGGGGTTCTGGGATCTCAGGGGATCCAGGGATTAGGGACTAGCAATTGGCACCATGGGTCTCCAGAGACCCAATGAGGGAGGATCCAGAGATCTGAATCTGGCAGTGAAGAGCAGGTAAAGGGCTGGAGGGTGATGTCTGGGCCCAGAGCTGTCGTATTTGGAGGGAGCCCTGAGTGGTGGTTCTCAGGGCTTGCTGAAAAAGACGGGTGAGGTGGAGGGGGCTCCTGGTCTCCTCTGGGTCTGGGCAGAGGCCTGAGAGTGTGCCTTTCTGGCAAGTTCCCAGAGGATGCTGATGCTGGGGTCCGGGGACCACATTTTGAAACCACTGGGCTATAACAATGAGCTGCAGAGAGGTGGAGGTGTGACTAGGAGGTGAGTGTATGGCCAGGGCCCAGGCTGCAGCTTGGCTTAGGGCATCTGGTGGTGGGGGGCTGAGTCTAGGAGAATCAGTGAGCAGGTGGGAGAAGCCAGAGCCAGGGCTTAGTGGGGTCTTTGGAGGTACCAGCCCAGACTGGGCAGCAACTGGGAAGCCAGTACTGGGGTCTGGTGAGGAAATAACTGGAGATCCGGCTGGAAGGGAAATCAAGACACCAGAAGGGCTGGAGAAGGGGGATCTGGGAGTCCAGCCAGGAATATGGGGAATGAGGGGCCCAGGCTGCAGAATTGGGGAAGAGGCTTTGGGTCAGGGGTAGGGCCTCACCTCGGAGCTGCCTCCAGGTGACCGTGGGCTCTGGCCGCCCTACAGCCAGGCAAAGCAGGTTTACGTTGCCTCCCTCGTTTACCGTCACAGGGGAGGAGATGTTCACAATGCGGGCAGGGACTGTGGGCAGCGGGAGAGGTCAGTAAGTCCTGTGTGCACTCCTGGAAGTCCAGCCTGCCCTCTTCCCTCCTCCCCCAGACCCAGGGTCCAGGCCCCAGACCTTCTAAACCTCCCTTTGTTTCCTCACTTGACTCTTTGCCCTCTTCTCAGCGGTCTCTGCCTGGGCCTGGCCCCCTGTCTAATTACCGGCTTTGTCTGTCTGTCTGTCTTTTCTGCTTTCATCCTAACTTTATCTTTGGTCTGATCTCCTTCCTCCCTGGCTCTACTGGCTCCACTTTTATTTATTTGTCATTATGATTTTTTGGGGGGTATGTTGGATTGAGCCCCGTAGTTTCCTATCTGGGAGCCACATCCCCAGCCCTTTTTATTTTGAAACAGGGTCTCTCTAAGTTGCCAAGGCTGTCCTCCTGCCACCATGCCTGGCTATTTTATTTATTATTATTTTAAAATTAACTTATTTAACAAATAAGTTAAATAAGTTATGTGGTAGATTGTGTTCTAATTGCTTTACAAAAACCCAGCCACTAGGCCCGCACCCTGTTTTCTGGGTGGGCGTTACCCTATTTCCCCAGTTCTAATACACTGTGCCTTACTTCCCCTCCTCCCTGTGGACATTCTCTAATCAGGATTGGCTTGTGATATAGGAAAACAGAGTTTAATTGGCAGAAGGTTTCTCTTCTCTTATAAAGGATAAAATACAGGTGGCCCTTCTGACTGAGGACGTCCTGCACTGCCTGAGTGCCAGCACCGTCCCCATCCCAGGAGGAGGAGGCTGAGCCCGAGGCCTCTGCTCACAGGTGGGTGCTGGCCCTGAGTCTGGAACCAGGCAGGCTGGCTCCTGAGCTGTCAGGACTCCCTGTCTCGGGCTGTTTCCCCTCGTGTGCTGCTGTCTTCCGGGCCACTCTGCTGACCAGGGAAGYAGCCTCCCGAGCTTCACCTCTAGGCCCTCTGTGCCTCCCCCCCTGCTGTGGGCCCTTGCAGCCTGGGGTCTGGTCTTGTGGATCCCCGAGGCTCTGTTTCTTTTCTGGTACCAGCTTTGTACCTGGGAGCCCTCCCTGAGCCGCCCCCCGGGGAAATCTGCTCCCAGGGAGCAGGGACAGCCTGCCTCGTTGGTATCCTCCGTCTACAACAGCCCCACGCGGTGGGCACGCAGGAGATGGCTCCGCAGAGTGCCTGTCTTCCTCTGAGCGCCCCTCACCCTGCAGCTCTCCCGCTCTAGAAACGGTCCAGTGAAGTGTCACCAGGAGTGTGACGCCTCCCTTCTGCTTGGCTGAAATCCACGAGGGCAGGGTTGTGCCCGTCTTCTACTTGAATGTGTCCCCACTCCCACCATAATGCAGCCTGTCACGAGTCCCCTCCTCCCACGCCCTCACCCTATCCCGGGCCGTGGCCGAGGGCTCACCGTGGACTATGAGGTAGACCTGAGTGGTGTACGGCTGGTGGCGGGTCTGGAAGGAGCAGGTGTAGAGGCCCTCGTCCCCGAGCCCCACCTGGGTGATGAGGATGGAGAACTCTTCAGGCGTGTTGATGAGCAGCCGCACACGCGGGTCGCTGGTCCAGCGGTCATTGCCAGCGTACAGGATGTTGGAGCGGTTCAGCCAGGCCACGCGGGTCACATGCTCGTCGATGAAGCAGCTGTGGGGTGGGGGAGGAAGGGTTTCTCTACACCGCAGCCCAAAAGGCTGACCCTGCTGTGCACCCGGGCAGGTGGCAGCCCATGTGCTGATGTTAAGTGCCAGAGACCCAGAGAGGCACGGGCACCCTGGGAAGAGGGGTGATGAGGACACAGGAGGGGTACAGAGACCTAGACAGAGACAGAGACCCAGGGAAGGAGCAGAAACCCAGAAAGAGGGGCAACAGAGGGTCAGAGAGGGGGAGTCAGAGACCTAGAGAGAGAGAAAGAGACCCAGGGGAGAGAATAGAGACCCAGAAAGAGGGGCAACAGAGACCTAGAGGGAGGGAGACAAGGACCCAGAGAGGGACAGAGACCCAGAGAGAGGAGACAGGGCCCTGAGTGAGGTGAGGAGCGAGCCGGCGAGGCAGTGACCCTGATCTCATTTACGATGCGGCCACGTCATGCCAAGCCTGGGGTGTGGGCACTCTCCATCCTGGACGTGGTGTCTCAGGCGCAGCACTCCTGGGACGGACAGGGACACAGAGGCTCTGGGGCAGAACTGGGCTCAGAGTCCACACTCCTTTGGGTCTGATGGGGATGGCGTGGCCCCAGCCTGCCCCTTGCCAGGCTGCCCCCACTGGGGAGGGACAGAGGACTTGGACTCCCGACTCCGCAGGCAGGAGGTACCTGAGGGTGGCGTTGTCGCCTTCGCACACGGTGTAGTTGTCTGCAGGGGAGCTGAACTCCAGGCTCTGGGACAGCAGCCCTGTGGACGAGAGGGCAGGCAGGAGGGACACGTGAGCACACACCCTGGGGACACAGAGACGTCTTCCACACGCATCCTCTGATGCTGTCAGACTCAGACATGGCAGACACACCCATACACACTGGGCCTGACTGATAGATAGATGGGGACAGGTGGGCTCACAGGGACACACAAACACACATCTCCAGACACAGAGGCAACAGCCAACACAGCACAGGCACAGATATACACATGCATGTGTGTATGTTCACAAACAACACACACACACAGACATGGGTATGAAGACACACATCTATGTGCAGTTACATGAGCACACAGAATACATTCACAGTGCACAGGGACATCCATGTGCAAATTCATAATTACACAGATACACATGCATGTGCACAGATGAGGCACGTGTACACATTCACACATACAGATACACCACATCACAGATACAGGTACAAGCACCCAGGCACTTGTGTAGATGCATGCGTATACACACACACATGCATGCACACACATATTCACAGGCTGTGAACGTGCAGGACGTATAAACACACACTTAAGGAATGCGTGTGCAGATACACATGCACAGACCCACGTGCACACAGACCCCCATGAGCACACAGACACACATGAATTCAGAAACATGCCACAGGCACACAAAGCCAGCATGCTCCAAGCAACACAGACAGACATCACACCCAGATCTGCAGACATGGTGCGTGGACACACACAGACCTTTGCACACACACGTGTGCCAGACACACCTGTGGCCTGTGCTCACAGGCATACTTGTGGGTACACACCCATGCCCACCTGCACACTCCAGTGTGGCCCACGGGCCCCATCAACACCCCCCCCACTCATCCCTCTGTGGACCGTGGCTGGCCGGCTGGACCAGGGCCAGGGAGTGGGGGCTGGGCACGCGGAGGCGGTGGAGACAGCCCTGGGCAGGGAGGGAGGGAGCGGGCTGGATGACCTTGGCGCCTGGAGCGGGAGGGCCCTGTGCGGCTGCCCTACCCCCAGCCTGGGAAGAGGAGCTAATTAATCTAATGAATTAATTGCCCATGCTGCCCCGATGACTCCCGGGGGCCCTCTCCATCAGCAGCCCCTCAGGAAGGGGCCAGGACACAGCCAACTGCGGTGGGCTGGCCGGCGCCAGGCGTGGACCTGGGCCGCCAAGCCCCTCAGCCTGGCTCCCAGGCCAGGTCCTGGTCCTCCCCCTGAGGTATGGAGCGGGCTGCCACGCACAGCCTGCTCACGACAGGATGCACACAGTCGCCAGGGCCTGGCAAGGACACACAACCACAGCAGGCCAGGAGACGGTCCCAGCTCCTCCGTCACACACAAGGCTATGGCTCTGCTCAGAGGAACACTGAGTCACACTGACACCCACAGCCCCAGACACACGCCAGCAGGTCAGCTGGAAAAGCAGCTCTGCCCCAGGAGCAGTCAGACTGTCACACTCCGCCGAGGGGGACAGTCCCTGTCAAGCAGCACCTGTAGACCAAGCCCCCCCCCCCCCATGCCACTGATTCCCGCAGGGTTCCTCGCACACCAACGTCCACGTTCCTCCCCATGCCAAGTCCACGTCTGGTTACAGCCTACCCAGGGGAGGCGACACACGCTGGCCTGAGCTGTCACGCTGACACCGTGGCCTGAGGGGACGCGCCCCAGCCCCACTCTGGAAGGCCCTGGGTCAGAGTTCCACAAAGCCACACCCTGCACGAGCACACAGCTGCACTGTCACATCCCCTCAGACACCAAGGCCACCCCAGGCCGAGGATCAGGTGCACCAAGTCATGCTGTCACCTACGGTCAGATCACACATGGCCACACACAGCCACACAGGGAGTTGGACGGAGAGGCAGTCATGTCACGCCATTCAGTTCTGAGACAGTCACACGTGGGCACCAAGATCCCTTCCCAGGCTGGCCAAGACAGACAGACAGACAGACAGACCTCGCCTCCCCAGGACTTGGCCACCTCCTGGTGACCTGCATCCTAGGCCAGGGTTCCCAGGTCTCAGTTCTGCTGGCATTTGGGGCTGGACAGTAGTGTGCACTGCAGAGTGTTAAACCTCCTGCTCTGGACCATAGCTCTCCCCGCCCCACAAACAGCAGACTGTGGGATGCCCGCTAGGGGCACAGCACATGGCATCGTCCCACTGAGAGGTGCCTGCAGGACAGGAAGGCCTGAGGCTGAAGGTGGAGCTGTCCAAGGTGCCACTCCAGGTTCAGGGGATGCAGGATGCAGGGCTGGGCCCTGGGGTGGGGAGGGGGCCCTCCAGAGGTGAGCAGGACACTCTGGGTCAGGATCACTGACAGACACACACACACATTCCTGCCACAGGTGTGTCTCCTGTGCCCAGAGCTGACTGCACCCCTGGGGCTCCCAGGGTCCCCCCTCAGCCTGGTGCCTGTTGGGAATCCTGGTGTCACTCTCGGGCCCTGTCTCCCTTGGCTTGTGAGGTCCAGCCTGCATGGCCCTCTTCTCCCAGCACATGCACTGTCCCAGTGGAACCCTTCTCCAGGTTTCCTAGGGCACAGGGGCCCTCCCAGATTTCCTAGGGGAGCTCCTGCCCTGCTCCCAGGTCACATGACCTTGGGTAGAAGTTGTCTGTCTCAGAGCCTGGCTTTCGGGCAGTCGGAGGAAATGTGTGATGAGCAAACCCATCCCTCAAGCAGGTCTTTGGTTCCTAGTCTATCTATGAACATGGAGAGCTCAGGCCTTTGYATCTGTCTCACAAAACCCCAAAACTCTGAGATCAGGAGGCCCCCTCTGTGCTGGGTGGCCTTGGGTGAGTCCCTTTCCCTCTCTGGGCCGTAGTGAGTGGGGGTGGGAGTCAGCCACTCATTGGTTCAGGGCTGAGCTTCTTCAGTGACCACAGCCGACTCTGTCCCTGAACCTGGTTCCTCCCCTGCATGCCCCGATCACCCTGGGTGGTGTCAGGTCTGCTGTCCTCACCAGACGGAGGGTTCCAGCAAGGCCCGGCTCCCCTGGTCTGCAGGAGGCCTCAGGAGACACTGACCAATGAACAGGCGAGCGTCTGCTTCCCACGTGCTTGGGCTACCTCCCCTGGAGCCCAGGACACGGTGCTGTCTGACTTCCCCCGCAGACTAGGAGTTCCTTGAGGGCAGAGCCTGGTTCTGACTCACGTCTGGGTCCCTAGCATCTYCCCACACAGGAGCTGGCCGGCTGGAGGCCTTGAAGAGTGAATAACTAAATGGACACGGTGACACACCTCAACTCCCGACACAAACGCCCCTCCTCYAGGAGACCCTCTCTGACTGCTCAAGGCAGAGGCCATGCCCCCTCTTCTGGGCCCCTGTGACTCAGTTGAGTTGGAGTTCATGACCCTCACGGGACCAGAGCTGGGAAGTGTGTGAGAGGGAACGGAAGGTCCTCAGAGACAACAGATCCCCAGGAGCTGGACTGGGAAACCAAATGTCTGCTCACCATGTCCAGCCTGGGTGACCCCCGGTCAACCTGAGCCTCAGTTTGTCCAAACGGAAAAAATGAAAACAATACGAGTTCTCCACAAGGGTTTCCGTGAAGKATCCCCGCGACCAGCCTGGCAGGAGGGTCCGATGTGCTCTGTTGGTGCTGGAGAGTGAACCCGGGGGTGCTCTACCACTGACCCATATCCCCAGTTCGTTTTTTGAATTTGGAGACAGGGTCTCCCTAAGTTGCTGAGGCTGGCCTTGAACTGGCGATCCTCCTGCCTCAGCCTCCTGAGTTGCTGGATCACAGTCCCGTGCCACTGTGCCTGGCCAGCACCTTCTTTTTTAAAGAAACATCTATGGCTGTTCCTGGCCCGGCGCAACCCAGCACAGCTCCACTGGGGGCCAAGAGAACAGAGCAGGGAGCTGAACAGCCCGGTTCAAACCCCAGCATGGCCACAGAGTCCCACAATCACTTCCCTTCTCCGAGACTCGGTTTCCCCACCTGTAAGTGGGCTTGGTGACCACACCTCCCTGCCCTGGACACAGGTGGACTAAAAGAGGAACTTTGAGGGGAACATGTAGGGCTGCTGGTGTGGCCCCATCCTTGCAAGGGCTGTCCGGGAGTCGGCTGTTAGGAGGCGGAGCTGCAGGCACCAGGAGCCTCCTGGGGGACCCCGGGACCACACAGGATCCCCGGGGATCCCTGCCTTGAGGGACTTACAGTCCACACAGTCCAGACTAGCGGGCCTCACACTCCTTTGATAAATTCAGGAATGAAGGTCACAGACAGGTGGGTTTCCTGGAGAGAGAAAGAGATTTCTAAAAGCTGAGTGACCTTGAGTTGGGGAAGACTCTCCGAGGTTCCTGGAAGAACTGAGGCCCAGCGGGGACCCTGCAGTGGGCTGGGGTAGGAGTGCTCCGATCCCACAGTCCTAGAAACCATGGGTCGGGGCCCTGGGGCCCTGGCAGTGGGTGTGAGCCTGTGCGGGTCCTCCAGGATCTGGCTGGGGAGGGCCGTGAGAAGGGGTGGGCCTGGTGCAGCTGGCACAAGGGACCCCCAGACTCCCCGCTTGCTGACCCGGGAAGCCTGCAGGCTCCCCTCCTGCACTAGGGAGGCCCTGGAGTCCGGACGGTGGGCCCGGCACCCTGGAACCGGATGCTGCGTGTTGGCTGCCATCTCACTGGGGGTCCACACCACAGGGCCTCTGCTGTCCCCAGGACCTGTCCAGGTCGGACTTCTCGTCTTCCTTCAGGCCACTCTCTGCTGCCTCATCTTCTAGACCACCCAGAATCAAACTGCCAACTCATTCCCAAGTCACTTTTATCTTTTTTATACCATTTGTTACTCTCTGAAGTGACCCATCTACTTGTCTGTGARACTTTGCGATTGCCTTTTGACCTCTCTGTCCCACGGTGGTACAAGCTCCATGAGGGCAGTACTCGGTCTGGCCCGCTCACGGCCATGCACGTCTCCCGAGTGCCTGGGGCAGGGACTCCAGGCTCAATAAACATTGGCTAAATGAACCAATGAAGCAGAGCCCACCATTCCGTCAATCTGGGAGCTCAGAGGTCCCATGGACAGCTGGTCAGGGGCAGCACTGGGACTCGACCCTCCTGTCCCCTTCTTGGCTATTGTCCCTCCACCAGCTGCCCATGGAGCAAAAGAACTCCAACCCTGCTACAGCTGCCTTTTGATTTTGTTGAATTGTTTCATGATACAGTGTAACTACTTTTGTGAATGAATATGTACACTTGAGGATGTGTGTATGCCTGTGTGTTGGCATAAAAGATTTAGAAAAAAAAAGTAGATTAATATTTATGGATGCCACGGAGCTTTTTTTTAAGTGGAAATAAGAAATGGGCTTATTTTTGTTTCTATTTTGGGAAAAACAAACAAACAAACAAACAAACATCACCCAACCAACCAGTCCTCTTCTTCCAGTGACCTGTTGAGTCTGAGCCTGTGTCAGGGAGAGAAGCCGCCGCTGGCCCGGCTCTGGGAGAGCAGGTGTGAGGAGGGCAGGCTGGGGCACCGCAGGGTTTGCTCTTATACCTGTTGCAAGGTGCACTGTTCTACTCATGTGCAGCTCGGAACTTGGAAAACATCACCATAAAAGAGGAGAAGGCACTATTTTGCATATCTTGCCAAGGGCTTATTTTCAGACAATGCAAATTGTGGGTGGGTGGGTGGGCTGGGTGCCTGTCTGGCACCTAGCTGTCATGGCTCACCCCCACCCCATCATCTCTTGTCCTTGGTTCTCAGATGGGGAACCTAAAGCACCGATGGGGCTGGAATTGACCAAGGTCACAGGCTACTCCTGGCTTTGCGAGTGCTCCCACCCAGAATGTGTGCATGGCAATGATTTCTGGGGTCTTGAAGACAGAAAGTGGAAGATGGGAAGTTCCCTGGAGAGTAAAGGGGGAAAGGGAGGAAGGGAGGAGAAATAGGTCACAAAGGGACAGGGGGTTGGGGGAGGAAGAAGGCAGCAAGAAGGGAAGAATGAAACAGGTGAAGGAGGACTGAGGTACGAACAAGGGAGCCAGGAAGAGAGGTGGGAGGTGACCATGGGGAACAGTTTGAGAGGCAGAGAGACAGATGTGACACTGAGCCGAGACCAGCAGGAATGAGACAAAGACCCAGAGACAGAAATGGATGGAATGTCACCAGCAAATAATAGACAGGATAGGAGTCTCTGGAAATGGCCAAGACACAGAGATCTAAGGAGACCAGGACAGGGACAGAGAGGAACACAGAGCAAGTCTGCAAATCAGATAACCACCCAGCCTTCTGCACCAGCAAGGGGCTGGTGCTCTGGCCCACTCTGGCCCTGACCTGATCCGATGTGGGGACGTAGATGTCCTGTCTGGACGAGGATGTGTTTGTGCGACTGTGGGTGTCTGCAGGTGCATCTTGGGGCAGAGTGCTGTGGCGGTGTTTGTGTGGCTGTGCATATATGGTAGGGAGGCTGAGAGCAGCTGCCTCTTTGGTGCTGAAGTCACTATGTTGGGTTTTTTTGTCCCTGAAGCTAACCCTTGTTTGGGTCAAGGCCTGAGGAATCCTCCAGAGACACTGGATGAGCACTGTTCCCTGCCCGCGGAGCACCCACCCAGCGGCTTCCTACTCTCCTTCCCTTCCCCTTGGGGGCATCTCCTTGACCATCCCCTCCCAGCCAGGCCCTGCTGGGGAGACACAGGCTCCATCCACACATCCTCTATCAGGACTCCCTCCAGCTCAGCTGGAGACCCTCCCCCAGTCTCCACTGGTGGGGTTGAGCTTAACCCTGTGACCTGCATTAACCCTTCCCCCTCCCCTCCTCTTCCAATGGGTCCCTGTCCTTCATCCATCCATCTCTCATGCTTTGTCCAGCACCAGAAATCCAGACATTCATCAGAGCTTTGGAATCAGTTCCCAGCCCAGCACCCCAACTTCCTGGATCCCAGTACTGTTCCCCCACATAATTGCACCACCCCAAAAGCCAACACTTTCTCTTAACCTAGAAGATTCAACCGGGAGATTCAGCTCTTGGCTCCCTTTTCCTGGCCCTGGGATTTAGGTCTGTGGACACTGTGTCCCCTACTTTTACTGACCCTGGGAAGATATCCATCCCCCCCACCCTTCTGTCCAGAGACGCATGCCCCAGCCCCCAGGCAAGAACTCCCTTAGGGACCCTCTCCAGGCAGAGGCAAGACCCTTGACCCGCATCAGACCCGCATCATTCCGAACGTAGCACCCCAACTCGGTTCGCAGATCATGTCTGGGGACCCCTACTCCAGCGTCAGAGCCCCCTCCCCGATCCAGAGGCACACACTCTGGGCCCCCAGGCCCGGACAAGGTGTCCGCTACCCCCTTGCTAGCAGGCGACGAGAAGCGGACCTCCGCCCCTGGGCCCAGGATCCAGCCCCGGGACACGATCCCCCGGCCCCAGGGCGCGGATCGGGACTTGCGAGGACCCCCTTCCCGGCCAGGGAATGCAACCCCTGCGGCGGGCCCAGACCTCGGCGTCCAGCGCTCCCCTTCCGGCCGGGGGACGCAGCCCTGCACCCCGTCCCATCCCCCGCCCCAGACCCAGGCGTCCCGGCCGAGCCCCCCGCCCCCGGCGCTGCGGTACCTCGGCTGATGACGGCCAGGCCGGCCAGGGCGGCGGCGGCGAGGAGCCGGAGCCGGGCCCCGGGCGCAGGGGGGGGCATCGCGGCAGCGGCGGCGCGGAGGGGGAGGGGAGAGGGGGGGCCGGTCCGGGGCGCGCGAGGCCTGGGGGAGAGGGGGAGGGGGAGGGGGACCCCGCCTGCGGCTGCACCGGCCCGGGGGGCGGCGGGGGCGGGGGGAGGGGGCTGGGGGGGCGCGACGAGGCGGCCGGAGCTGCAGCAGACCCGGGGAGGGGGGCGGCGCTGACGGGCAGGGAGACCGGCCAATCAGGGGAGGCGGGGGGCCGCGGAGGCGGGGCCGAGGGGGGGTTGCTTGTTGGAGGGAGAGGCCTTTGTTACTGCGGCCCGGCCCCCACCCCGCCGCCCCGGGCACCCCGCGTCTTCCCGGCTCCAACACGGGTCTGAGACTCTTCCTAAACCCAGCTCCCTCCTGCAGGTTCCAGTCTCATTCTCCCCAGACCCTGGAGTCCTGGCTCCAAGGCCCCTCCCTCAGACCCAGGGTCCAGGCCCAGCCTCCCCCCTCAGACCCAGGGTCCAGGCCCAGCCTCCCCCCTCAGACCCAGGGTCCAGCCCCAGCCTCCTCCCTCAGACCCAGGGGTCCAGGCCCAGCCTCCTCCCTCAGACCCAGGGGTCCA